TATCATTTCAGCCAGGTCTAAAATTATGGTGTTGTACACTGGACCCCGCAGGGTAATGAGTGTCTCCGGGTTTTTGTCTTTGCCTTTAGGTTTGTATCTGCTCTGAGAGTTTGTTCTCTGTTGACTGGTCCTTCATTTCACCTAGTTCCAGATTACTACTTCCAGTTTGGTAATAGGACATCCCAGTAACACCAGCCTCCCCTGTTTTCCCCAAGTGCATTCCAAATGAGTAGCTCTGAGACTAAGCCTACAGCTGATCACAGGTGGGGCCACTTTCTGTCTGTCACACAACCTTGGCAGTGTTGCCCTTGCAGGACTGGGCCAGACCAGATGAAGAGAATAAATTACAATTATTTTAACAGATGCAAGGTTAGGCATCTGATTATCGACCTGTAGATGTCTAGATCAAGCAAATTAGTTCAGGGATCCGAGCTGTGTTTAAAAATCACCAACTTTTTCCTACCTGACTCAATGCATAGTCCCACACAGAACGTGTTGGCACAGTTGAAAGGGGTGCCATGGGAATGAGAACCAGTTACCCCAAAGTGAGTGAGCGTTGCTGAAGCGAGTACACCATCCCCAAAGAGCTGCTTTACAAACTGCACCCTTACTCCTGCTCAAAGTTTTTGCTTTTTCACCATGGCTTCTTGCTACCAGGGAACAGCAGATTGCATTAAGTGGTCTCTCCTTTGGGTATTGTACATTTGGAAGGCAGCTAGTTACCCACTTCACAGCTAACTTGTTCTATTCTTGATTTGTATTTTTATTTTTCCATCTCTCCTATCTTTAATTAAAGAAAGAGTGCCTCTGGAGGCTGCAAATCAGCTGCTTTGAACCACCTGAAGCTGTCTTTGGTCAGCAGAGAACATTGCATTCTTTCTGATTTGCTAATCATCAGCACCTGTTTCCTGGCACTGTTGGCAGCTGACATCTCATTTTAGGATTTGTATACATTATGGGTCTGATGATTTGGTCCTTTTCCCCTCTATGTCTTCATGATTCAGCTTTGAAAACTTGGCATGCAAATACCAGAAGTAGGGAAGTCGCATCTTTTAGGTGTCTAGATTTTTCCCTCTTCCTTTATAATCTTTTTTGTTGTTGTTTTAAAGTCCAAATGATATGCAGTTAAATTTTAATTAGTTTTGGAACAGACAATGGCTCATTACAAAAAAGTAAGATTTATGTATGAGGGGAATGGAGAAATTTGCAATTATTAGATGTTTGTCAAAATCTTTGCTTTATGTATCTTGAGTGGTATAGCTGTGTCTGACAGGGCTTTTCAAAGACTTCAGCCTTATCTCTGGACCTAATGTAATGTTTTTGTTTAATAACTTTCTAATTTGTCTAGCAGGTAACTGCTACACTTGTTTGTATTATATTCTGTTTTCTGAGATGGCTGATTGATTAGGGACAGGAAGGGACAGAGTATCCAAACCTGTGAGTGAAACTCTAAGCTTGTTGGTGAAACTGGTTAATGGCAGAAGCCATTAAGAAAATTTTAGTTCTCTCTTCTCTCAGGCTTGCTGTGCCCTGCAAAACACTTTGGAATAGAGATGCACAGAAGTGTGCACTGTGATATTTACCTGTTATTGTGGCATTTATTTTGAAGTTTGGTTTAGCATTCCTGATCAGTGTTGTAGTGTAACTGTAAAGCATTTATTTTTTCTTAAGCACAGCAAGATGATTGAGATAATATATTTAAAGGTTTTGTAATCCATAATTTATTGGTTTTGGTTTTTTTTTAAATCTACTTAATTTCAGAAAACTACTTTCAGAGTGCAGCGGTTCACTAGATAACTTCTAAAATCAATAAATAATCCCTGGGAAGTCAAGGAATGCAAGAGGAAGGAGAAATTTGAATTGGGGTACTGGATCCCATACAAATCACTGATTACAGCACCGGTGTCATCAGATTTGGGGCATTTGGACCAAAGCAGAGGAACTGCAGATGGGAAAAAGAGGAGAGGGGAAGGGCACCACGACAAGAGCTGGAAGGCAGTCACAGACAAATGTCTCACCAAAAGGGGAAGATAAGATAATATTGTTTCCGAGTGTTAGAAGTCTCTAAAAGGAAAATGTTGCGGTCGCTTCTCAGATGAGGCAGGAGGCAACAGCAGAGCCCTGTGCTGCCTCCGACTGACCCATTCCCAGCAGCTGCTCCTGGCTTGCCATTGATGAAGTTAAACATTGGGCAATCGTTCAAAGCAACAGCTTTTCTCTGAGGGTGTAATAGTGGGGGACCGGGAAAAGTGTTTTCAGCAGAAAACATACAAGTACTTCTGTTGCTCTCTTTTTCCCCTGTTATATTTCCGAAAAAATGACTGAACACAGGAACTGTTGCTTTCTGTGGATTGACCCAGTCAGTTGGCTATGTACGTGAGCTATAAATATATATTGATCTCATCCTGTAATATATTGTTCTAGTGGTTTAGGTATCATATATAGGTATTCTGCAAAGCAGTGGGAAGAAAAATGTCTACAGAAACTCAGAGATCCAAGCGTACAGGAGTGTGGTTGACCTCCATCTGCTTTTAGGCTGCGCCACAGTTGTTTTGCTTTCTGCTATTTTTGGTGTGCTAAAGCAACCCTCGGGGATCATGCAAACTTAGGTCCTCGGGATTAAAGAAAATGTACTGTGTTCTAAAGGAGGAAGAAAGAGTTTACAAACCGAAAAGCAAACCTCCCTCATTGCCATTTTGTTTTAAGACATTAGTATGACTCATTCTTATTTCTTTTTATTTGAAAGTTTAAAATAACTAGTCTGTTTTTTTTTGAGGATTTTTATTATTTAGATTAGTAGCAAGTAGAAGTACCAGCTGAAACAGGAACTTGTAGTAGTGATTATACAAGTATAGTGTAGGTTGCTTTCAAAGACCTTGCAGTCTAAATTGACAGGATGGATCAACATTTGGGGTGGACGGGGAGAGCAGCAAGGACAATGGGCAGAAAAATGGTGCAACCTTGTCACATACATTCAGACTTTTACTGAGGCTTATAGATGCTTTTGGCATGAATTTTTCACACTTTACTATTCGCTAAATATCTTTATGAAACGTAAGAGTGAGAAAGACTACAAAAACCTTTTATTTAAGCTTCCTTGTGTTGTTTGTTTTCCTTTGTTTTCAAGTCTTAGCTGCTGGTGTCTGTGTTTGTGGGAGAATCTCTGCTCATACTTATAGGGATGGAGAGAATTGGGAAAATGAGAATGGGTTAAAATGTCAGAAAACAAAAGCTTGAGTTTTCTTCCAAATAGAGATTAAAAAAAAGGGCATTTTTAAAACTAGCTTCCTGCTGGTTTAGGCCTGATTCCTGATCTCTAGATTTTCGCTTGGAGCTGCATGTTTTTAGGAAGGGATTAGTTAACGAGCAAAGTGGTGGCCTCTCACAAACCAAACCTCAGTTGTGCTTGTAAATGACAGTGAGACATTCCCTGTGGATGGGATGTGAACGGGATCTGCGTTTGAACTGCGTTTGAGAAGTGGTGCAGGGTGGGCAGGACTAAATTGTGACAACTGGATAGACAGTCTGTGAAAACAGCATGTCCAAGGATCTGTTGCTGAAGGGAGATTGTGTCGAAGCATCTAGTTGTTCTAGAAAGCTCTTTTTTATTTCTTGCACTATCATACATTATAAATCGCCGTGCTTTTTCTTGCGCGGAGTCCCCTTGGAGCTGCTGCCCCTGAACAGTGCGTGGCATCAGAGCTCGGGTCATGCTTGGTGATGGAGAAGAGGGGGCTGCTTTGGGATGTGCTGCCTCCTGCTTCCTCCCTCACTAGAGGAAGGTCAAGTTGCACTACGTGAAGGAGAAATGGAAAGACGGTGTCAGCTCATCTGATTTTTTTCCTTTCTCAAAGCATGGCGAGAGGATGAAATTTGCTCGTCCTATTCATTTGTGGTTTGTTCAGAGAGGAGGGTAACTCAACCTTCTTCCCACGGTCCTTCTTCCACCCACGCAGGCTCTGACAGAGGATGTGGGTTCCTGGGATGACAGGAGTGGGGCTTGGCGATCCTCTTACCTGGTTTGGGGGAGAGCACAGATTTGCTCGGTACAGCCCTGCCGTCGCAGCAGAGCGTAAGCACAGCTGCTCTGTAGCCAGTATCAAATGAATTGTTGGGGTTTTTTTATTTTCCATGAAACAAAGCTTGTTTTGGCATGTTTATAAGCACGTTGGAAATGACATCCAAACGTATTTAGGAGTTAAACGTCTCCTGAGGAAAAAACAGAGGGAAGCTTTCTGTTTAAAAAAGAAAATAAATAAAAACAAAATCCAAGACAGTTAATCCCGATGTGTGGCTTTAGCCCCAGGCGAGGGTTTTCCTCCCTTCTCCTGCCCCCCACTCCCTACTGAGAAAACACTGAATTCATTGAGGACACCAACAAATGCAGTGTCCTGGAGGAGAGAGAAGACTGACAGGGAACTGAGTGCAGATGAGCCACAGAAATTCCTGATTTATGCTTAGCAACAGCAACAATAAAAAGGAAATCTGTAAACACAGAAACCATAAGGACAGTTACATTCTGCTACAGATTATTCTTTTCATGTAAGGAGAATCCATGAAACCCAAAGTGACAGTAGTTCATCAAATCGTACCAATGGCCTTCAGTGTTGGGAGTATTGGCTTTGGGATTTAAAATCTGATGGGGAGTTTAGAGCCCATCTTTTCCATAGCTTTTTGGTAACTGAAGAAGTTTGGACTGTTTCTGATATTCCCATGGTCCAACAGTAGTGGTTACTTTGAGGCTGACATGCTTATTTGTCATATGTGAATTCTAAGGATTTATAATTAGTAGCAAAAAATTCTAAATTATTTTTCTGTGAAGCTGTAGCAACTCTTCCCCTAAGAAAAACCAAGCTTTTGTATCACTTTATTTTCGCTCGTATCCTGCCTACCTCAGAGGAGTTACTAAGTAGAAGCCCTCATCTTAAAATATAAATGTTGTCTTAAGCTTACTCCATTATTCAAGCAATGTTTAGTGTAACCCTGTCATTTTCTTATAGTGATCCAGCTGCCAAAGCTCTCTGGGAGTCTTTCATGAACCTCAAACAAAAGGAAGCTGTGATGGAGGCGAGGAGACACCTTGTGGAGGCTGCGAGCAGAGAAAATTTACCTATCAAGATGAGCATGGGTGAGTGGCATAGGACATACCCTTCCCTACGGTGTGGAAATGTGAAAGGTGATGTCAGCTTCTCTTCTTCCACTTAGCCCTCTTGCACAAAACTCATCCCCATCCTTGTCGACAGATTTTGGGTGAGCACCGTGGCTACCACAGGATATTTGTGGTATATAAGTAAGAGGCAAGCGTTGTCTTCTAAACACAACCACCTTAAAAAGACTGAGAGTGGTTGTGAAGCAATGGAGTTCTTGAAGTGAAGGAGGATTTTAAAGGCATGCAACTGGTTAGCAATGCTGCTTGTCTTTATTCTGCAAAGCATGAGAATTTGGGTATTCAGCAGGATTTGTGTCCTGAAAGCAGGCGTTGTAAATAGCAGCTGATCTGATGGAAGTTGTGCAGATCTTGCGTATGATCGCATTATACAGGTAGTGATTACATTACATAGGTAGTGAAGTTTATGTGAAGTAAGGCTGCCTGGCTCAAGAGTTTAAGCTGAAAACCATGTCTGGGTATTCTTTAAACCCAATTTCTTTAAAATATTAGAGATACAGATTATAACATAATGACTTTAAATTGCTTTTTTGGAACCTTATTCTCACTAGATACCATACTCGGTGAAATGCAAGATTTGATATAATGTTGGGCTTATAAAAACTGGTATTGTTCTGTACCACAATAATTTTTAGCATTTTTATGTACTGTAAGACTATTTTATGCTGAGCTTTTCATCAAGAGAAAGGCCCCCATGGAATAAGAGTAATAGGCTTTTATCTGGGACTCCAGAGTAAACTGCCAAGATATTGTAGAATTAGATGTACAGCCAACTCATGAACTCTTAACATCTATAACATTTCATATATTGTATGGTCTTTGCAAATACCTAGAGCATGCATTCAGTAGATTATTAATCAGAAATACTAGATCTCTGCAACAGTAATGCTGTTAAGATGTTTTAAAGAAATGGAAAAGGAGCAGCTGTGGAAGGGCTATTACAAATTTGTCTGAAGAGGGTAAGGCACAGTAAATAATAAAATCTTGTTTAAGCTTTCACTGATAATGTGTGTGAGAGTATTCACCGCAATAACATTAAGAAGCTCCCACTGTTTTTCTATTATATGTTTAAAAAAAAATTATTAATGTTGAAATTCAGCTTTGTTTTAAAAGTAATTACTTCCTGTCTTTGAGAGGTAACAATCCATCTACCACCTTTGCTGCCTTGTGTGAATGATTGGATCGGCCTTTGTGTCCCCTTCCCATGGTATCCAGTGAAGCCCGTGATAACCTGGTTCTTAATCATATTAGTTGACACTTACTGATGGCAGCCTAAATGTCTGACATACGTGGGGCCAACATAGTGCTGTGTAGAAACATTTAAGAGTTGATGGTGAATCAAATTTCTGACACTGGAGTTCTTGAGACTTGATTTTTGTTGAAGTGTAGCTGTCATTTACTAAAGTTTCTGGAAGTCTGTTATTTATTTTGTGAATTATCTATTTATCTTGCACTAGAATCGTAGTCAGTTGTTAACTTTGTAGTTGAACTTCAAAAGGTGAAACAAAATTCAAGGCAGTGTTGTAAATGATGAACAGGGATAAAATGAAAAACAAGGAAAGGAGAGCACTGCACTCACCAAAATCAAAACTCTTATTGAGCTTAAATGCAGACAACCCGAAATTCAGGCCCAGATGTCGTATTGGCCAATGACACATATTCATTAATGACTTTTTAGAACAGATCTGCATTTTTGGAGCATTCATTGCTCTCATTCATTGTGCTACAGAATATCTTAGTTCTCTGTAGGAAAGCTGGAAATTGAGGTGTTTATCCATGGCTGCTCTTGCTGAGAAGGAAAAACTGTAGTGGCCTGTTCTGGTCCCGATTACTGTGTTTAGTTGAAAGGCTCCTTCCACTGCGCTGTGATACGAGGCAACACTGGCTGGAGAGAAGGGAAATGCTTTCACTCTGCTTAGACTTCAGTTTTTATGATTCAACCTCAGGTTCTGCCTGTAATAGAAAGCCTTGGTGGATTGCACACTGATTTTTCCCAACACTTAGGGTATTTTTTTGAGTTTTTTATGGCCCTAATATTAAATGTCAGAGAGTTTTTCTAGCATGAAAGTTGCCTCTTACTCTCTTTACTAAGACCAGCTGTGTCAGATGGTAAGAGTGTTTTCCTTACTACTACTTTTTTTTTTGCTTTTTTTCCCCCCTGGAAATAAGGAGTGAATTACATTTGAAAGCAAAGCTTTGAATTCCATTTGGTGTAGCTGAGCCCTCCTGCAGTGGCCACCTGCCTGAAGAACTGCATCACGTGGGACACGGGCAGCACGGGAGCCCTGTGCAGCAAAGAGAAACTCAATCCCATCCTGTTTCTGTGTTTTTGAGTGCAAAGAAAATAAATTCTGTTGCTTTCTGAGCTTTGAAAGGCTGCTTGTTGCTTGGAGGTCTGCGTGTGCTTGTCCACGTTTCCCCTGCAAGCGATGTGCCTGACACCCAGCTTTCCTCTTTCTCTGCCTGCCTGCATGTGGCAGGAGCTCCGATGCTTTTGGTGGGACACACAGCTCAAGATTTTGCTTTCTGATACCTTCTGAATGTGTCCCCCTCCTCCTGAGAGGAAAGGAGACTAAGAGAACTGTGTGTAGGCACGTCTTCTCCCCAACACCCACAAAGGCCATTGGGAACTCCATCCACTCCCATTGAAATCAGCAGGAGTGGAGAGAGGAGAGGAGTTCTGAGGAAGGAGAAAAACTAGAAATAAAGTAAATCAGCAATTTTGGCCACATTGTTTGAGCTGAGTATACTGGAGCACTGCTTTCCAGTGCTCTTGATTTGCATATTCATTTTATTAGTTGCATCAAGGAAAGTGGCACCGGGCATGTCTGGAAGCCCTATTGACTGTTTCTGAAGGGTTCAAGTGTAGAAAGAAGGTTGTTGGAGACAGGATGAGCAGAGCTGGCAACATTTTGTTGAAAGTTTTTGTGGATGGATTGTTGGAGCAAACCCAGTTTCAAATCTAAGACCATCTCCATGACATTTGTAAATAGAGCAGGATTCTCTTCTTTTGCTATAGCTGTCTCATACTCAGGTTTCCACGTGAGCCATTAAAGGGTGTTATATCATCTGCAAGGAAGACTTGTGTGTTTTTCTTTTTTTTTTAAATTCCATTTGTCTGAAGAAAGTGTGGTTTTTATCTGTCATTTCACTTTGAGTGAAAGAATTACATTGTCATTACAAACTTCAGTGAGTGACAGGGGCTAGTAAGCTGCTCAGAATGGTTAAGTGCAAGCATTTTAAAATCCTGTTTCTTTTTTAAAGAAGAATTGCAAGTCTTAGGAAACTTCATCACAAAGGGAGACAAAGTGCCAAGCGATGGTACATAAAACCAACTAGAACACAAAGCTGTGGAGATATTTTGCCCTTTCCTAATAAAACAAAACCTGGGCTGTACAGCTCTGTGGTATATTTGATTTTTTCTGAAGTCAGCTTTGGAGAAGGCAGGCAAAGCATGGTGCAGAATTCCAGCCAGCCTAAAGGCTTTTCGTGTCCTACATTCCGGTTACTTATTGTTTAATCCGTTCCATCCATAAATACATAACATGGATATACGGGTTTTGAAGATGTAATTTCCTGTGGAGTTCAGTAACGCTGTTGGTATTGACTTTTGGGGAGTATTTGTTTGGTATTGCTTACTGTGGCCATGCTGACATTATAGCATCCTGTAAAGAAGGGGCTCAAACGCACTGAAGCCATGTTACTAACATAGCAGTTAATTCTACGTTTTGCATTAGTCAGTTCAGCTAGATACATATCCCAAAACAATGTGTTTGCATGTAAGCAGGTGGAGCTGTCTTTTGTGGGCAGCCCAATTCTAAATAAAGAGGATCAAATATTCCATGTATGCACATACTTTAAAAAAAAACAACAAACAAAAAAAATAGAACCAAACCAACAAAATGCTTTTTAGGAACTACATCAGCTCCATTTTGCCTCTGAGTCAATTGCATTTGTGTTTGGGATGCCCAAGTGAATGCTGATGAGTATTTGGAGGAAGGTAAACATTTGTCGATGTCTGGTCAGGTATCCCATCGTGTAGGTGTAAATGTGGAGATGTAAATTATTTTGGCATAACAGCAATGCTGGCATCTAAAGGAATTTATTTTATTTAAAGAATTATGTCTCCTTTTGAAAAGCTCTTTGGAAGGCAGTTTAGGTGATCATTGGAATAACTTTTTGGTGAGATTTATAGCATCGTGCTAAACTTGAGATTGTACATACTGGAAAGGGATGACTTCTGCTCAGCTCTTAAAGCAAGTGAGTATAAGGAGCTCTGCTGTGAGGCAGCAGCCCGACTCACAGCACAGCGGAAAGGTTGCTGGTTTTTCCATTCCTCTACTTCCCGTTCCGTTCTTCATAGGCCTGATGCATATCTTAATCATCTTCTGAACGTGGCAGCCCATGAATCTCTTGTTGAAAGCTTTGCTATTAGCATAGCATTTGGCAGCGGTAAAAACTTTGCTACAAATGTTCTTTTGTGGCTTTAGAAACACCCTTGCTCTTCTGTTTGAAAAGAGCACAGTAAACCTCGATCGGGTCTGAATTCCTTTATTGTGTCTTTTTACTGGCATGGAGACTGATGGAAGTCGAAACACTGGTGTAGTAACAGCAACAAAGTGCAGTGTGCTGTTACACGAGCCCTTGTTAGCAGAAGAAAAGCTTTTTGGTTTCTTTCCATTTGAACTGTACAAATGCAGTTTTAAAAATCAAGCTCACTGCAAAATTAGTGATGCCACTTGCATGCCTTTAAAATACTCCTTTACTTTGTGAAGTAAAGAGAAGAACTGTAATTTTTTCAGATGGGCTGTTTGCATGCATTGAATCGAACTCTAATTGTTTCAGTGAAAATGGGAAGATCATGAAATTTTAGCCTGGAGAGATGGTAATGACATTTTGAGTTAGAAAAGTACCTTAAAGTGGGCAGGAAGAATGAATACCTCATATAAAACATAAAGAAT